ATGTTCTATCTCATTACATATTTAAAGCATTCCAGAAAGCAGCTGCAGCGGCGTTGTTATTCCGAGTTAATTGATTCAAAGCTTTCACGTCCATTTCTGCAGCTCGACATTCAGCGGTGAGCAATTGAAAGGCAACGTATTTGAATATCGACATACTTCCTCCATTGTTACATTTGTAATGGAAATACCAGTATTGTTTTAATAAATGATTTTTTGAAATAACACATGAATTTTAACGATTATAAATTTTAATGCTTTTGCCTTCTCGTAACTTGTCCAAATCGGTCAGGGATTTTAAAGTCTTATACAAGGCTGTGAAAATAGGTTAATCTTCATTCAGATAGCAAAAAATACACGCAAAATTTACTGGAACGAAACGTAAAAAAATTATCTTACAAATGTTATAAATGCAAAAATTACATGCAGATGCATGTATGGATGTTCGTTGGCGTTTGTAGTCTAAACTGGTGAACGGATCTCGATGAAATTTAGCACAGATGTAGCGGATAGTCTGGAAGAACACATTGGCTACTTACTTTTATTTTCATTAATTCTACGCGGACAGAATCGCGAGCGAAAGCTAGCATAGCGATTATATAGTTTGTACATTCGGTACAGTCGTACCAAATAAATGTAAATTTAATATTACAATTCAACGTCAACCCAGTAATACCGTGATCATGTCACTGCCGAAAGGAATTTCACAAAACGTCTTGTTAAGAAATCATGTACACAGTCACGTACAAGTCAGTTGCGTGCAAAAATATGCCGCATATAAATTGAGGCTCAGGTGTATTGGAGCTATAAATATTACAGTGCTTTCGCCTGCTACATTTCAACAGAAAGTGAAATAAAAGGTCTCTCAGATTTATTGTTCGTGAGGTTTTAAAAGATACAAAAATTTTAATTTCAGATAAGAAGTCACGTGTTTAAAAATAGTTGATAGCATCCCGACTTTTATGATCCCTATATTTAATTTATATAATTTAATAAATGGTTTCATTAATTTCATTAAATATACAATATTTCGCCAAAACTTTTACAAAACATTTAAAACTGACGTTGTTATTTACTTTAAACAATATGACTTATGGTACATGGTATAACACCCATATAATCCGATTTCGGATGATTTTGTCCCTTTTAAGCTCTATCAGTCCGTTTGACCTTTCATCTGTGAGCCGTGTGCGAGAGCAGGATTAAACCTTTCATTACTCAATGGACTTCAATTAAAGTTACCGTTTAAAACACGTTCGAAATTTTAAAATTCGAAACTGATTGCAGATTGTTATATAAATGATTCATTTGTTTTTGCGTTCACGTATTTACTAGCTTCTAACCGCGACTCACTCTCGCAGAATTAAAAAAAAAACTTGTGAAAATGTAAGTAGCCCATGTTCTGCCAGACAATGTTCTTAATTTGTTACAAATCATCGAGAATCGTTAAGCTATTCTGGAGATAAATGGTAACACAAATCAATCCATCCATCGATCCATCTAAGCCGCATTTATAATATTAGTAAGAATTAAGAAGTAAGATAGTAAGACCCGCGTATTTATGTTTTTATAATGCTTGATTTTTGTGTTATTAGGGTAAATTTGGACTTTTTTAGACATCCAAGTTTGTTATCAGTCACTATACAAATATACATTTTATTCCTATAATGTATTTCGTATCCAATATTCAAATAAACACGTATTCTCGATGTAATTGGATATTTGGAATTCGTCAACATCGTCATATTATACCGAGCTCGGATCTAAAAATATCTAACAACATTTTTGTGAGAGGAAAATCGTGTACAAGTTAGGCAATTATGGTAATTGTATGAATTATTAATGTATAGCCCGCAATCATTAGCAATTTACATTTTAATGAGGATCGAGGAAAATAAGAAAACGCTGACATCTTTTAATATAATTACTTCCTCTTAACAAAGTCTATTAATTAATTTACATGAGGAAATGCCCTATACTTATCTTTTCAAAGGTTGAGATAAGTTATCTCGGGGTTTGGACACGACTCGGACCCTACGGCGGTCGCCCACAGTTGATGAGAGGTCAATGAATCTCCTATCGATAACAGAGACCTACCTTCGTTGAAAAAAGAATCGATCCCGAGTACTCATTTGGTTCAATGGTTTTGCACATGGTCCAGATGTGAATTGGATGATAATAGACTACAAACGCCAAAGAAGGAGTAAACATTTAAAGACCTCAAAATATAAAATCTTCAAATCAAATCTTTCAAGACACAAGTTTAGTCAATCTTTCCAATAGATTCAACAATATACTTCTAGTATCTCTACTAACATTTAACGGTTAGAATTTCCTGTTTTTAACATAATGAAGTCAGTGAACAAATATTTCAAATATAAATGAATAATACACAAAGTTATGTAGTCTATTTTTGTTGGCCTATATTGGACTTTGTAAATCTACGCTTTAATTACAATACAAATGAAGTTGTTAACGCAATTTTAATCTCAACTTTATGAAAAAAGTCCGAACCACAGAGAAACATTTCATAGCGCGGAGCTATTATTAAGTGTTTTAAAAACAAAGCCACAATATAACTGAGCGGTACGAAAGCGTAATTTTGTTCCTGTCATTCTTTATCAAAAGGAGGGAGATAGCACTATGGTTATACAAGTGTTTCGTTGGTGAAAACACGTGGTAATCAACATGCCGAAATGAAATTTTCCCGACGTAGTCGGAGTAATTAGTTAAACGTTTAATTACATCGCATAGCATGTTTCGTAGCATTTTATTGGATAGTGTAAATTATAGTGTTTTATTCAAGTTTATTATTATATCTTAATTTTTATCCAGCGGTTAACATTCGGGTTTACAATGTTGTCATTTCGCTCATGCTTATTTTCTATAAAACTTTTGGTGCTTAAATCCAATGTATAGTAGAAAAGGAACAAACCTTCAAAAATGGTGTAAAATCATACATTAAGTTCAAATATCCTTTGCACTATATATCTTGATAAAGCTTGAACTCAAAGTAAAGATGGATATCTTTTACGGACCCGTGGACCCCTGCATCTTATTAGGGTGAAATGACCGTGGAATTAACGATGGACCCAACTTTATAAACAAGCTGGCTACTTGTTACTTGTTTGAAATTAATAACATAAAGTATAACTTAATACATACTTTTATAACATATCTTGTTTATTATAAAAGAATAAATAACATATTCTACACTTTATAATATATGCAATGACTGTAAAATAAACAATATTTAAAACCCAACTAATTGTTCCCCTAACAGATTTCTCAATATACTATCTCAGTTTTTTTTGAGACTGTGAGAGTTGACATTATGTTTTATGAGACTTTCTCGGCAGTGCAACCTCACTCTATACACGTGTCAAGCTTAAGACCGCTACAGACGTTTAGATAAAACTGAACGTCTGTAGCATGCTTTTAACCGCTATAAAAAATCGCAATGTAATTTAAAAACATTGCGATACCTGGCAGTCGAAAAAAACCACATAAAAGCCGTTAAAGTTAATAAAGCGCATCGCATTATATAGATAGGTGTTAAATGACACGATAAGAGGACAAATGAGTGGGACTAGCGGCCACTAGAGGGCGACGAGAGCGCTCCTGTCAAGTGGCGCGCGCGTGACGCGATATATCTTGTGATCCCACATTTTTCATTGCTTTTTCTAGTATGTGGTTTAAAAAATATATACGAGTAAAAAGGTGTTTTTAGACGTAATATAGTAGATTTTTAATCTATGGCTTTACATTGCGTCATCTAACCTGTTCACTTTAAAAATAGTAGAATTGAGAGTGTCTAAAGTTCAATTATCTTTGACTAATCTTCGACCGCGATTACATCCGTGCGGAATTAGAAAAATAAAAGTAAGTAGCCTATATGTTTTTGTAGACTATCCCCTACATCTATGCCAAATTTCATCGAAATCCGTTCAACAGTTTAGGCTACAAACTCTAACAAACATCCATCCACATGGATGGTGTGAGGAAAATCTCTTCGTATTTTTAAATTACGAGAATATACTCTTTAAACATAGGACACTTGTATATCTTTTTGTCTTGCTTTAACATCCTAATTCAATCTTCTTCGTAAGAGATAAATTTAGTAGTACAAACATTTTTTTCTTTTTATCGACATGTTTACCTAATCAATTTAACGGTTCGCTTCCACGAAAGGTGAGGTGTAAAGGTCACGAGAAAACTTTCACTGCTTACTTTACGTCAGTGTCTTTCCTTTGTGTTATATCCAGATCGTAATAATACCGGTTTTTCTTTAATGAACAATATATAAGATATGTACTCTAATCAAGAACCATTTCTTTTTGTAGTCGGTTAAAATAGTCGTGGCTTCTTACTTATTTGGTATTTTTTTATCAATCGAATTACTTATGGAAATCGAAGTCTATTCTTTTAAAGTAATATTTTGACGTTTAGCTAACAAATTATATAGAATACAGTTTTTAAAGTGAATAATTTAATATGAAAAAGTATGGAACTGTTAAATTTGATGTAAAGAAGCATTGTTGATTAAAAAAAAAATCCCGATATAAAAGTCTAAGGCTACATCAAAATAAAAATCTTGGTCCATATTTAAATATGATTACATTTAGAGCTATTCGTTAATTTAAAGATAGAGTTTCATTGAATTTAAAATTCTTTTAAATCCTTTGAGCTCATTACTTAACGACTCGTTCAAACTTGCTTCGTTTAACTTCAAAGTGAAAAAAGTTCCTCAGCAATCCATGACAAACATAAAAAGGTATTGTTAAATTGTACATAATAAACTTGAGACTAAATAACAAATTACCGCTTTGTTAAATTATGATGATAAAACCTCAGAAGCGGTTTCTAGGAATGCTTGAGAGGATCCTCTAGAAGATTCTTTCTAAAACGATACAAAACTAAAAAAAAAACAAATGACTAGTCTATTTTAAATCGATCTATACTGATTGCAACGTTGAGTGTTTACCGTTGGGCCATTTACTCACCGATCGATCGATTCCTTTGAAATTATTTCCCCATTAAGTGGATTGATTACATGGTTTCGGTATGCTCTATGGGAAATCAGCGAAATGTTTCGTATTAAAGTTTTATATCACAGGTGAATCTAAAAAAATGATGGCTACATTATAACATCGAAAACGTAATCTCTTACAAAGTTTGTGCTTCTAACAGCTTTTCTAATAGCGTGAAATGTACTTGAAAGGTCGCCTTTATAAAGCTCACCTTTTACACGTTTTGTTGCGACTCGCAAACATTTGACCTTACGTACAAAGTACTGTTCAAACAAAACTAGCTATATACACTTTCATATCTTATGTTTCATGTATTACACTAATGGGACAGAAAAAGTTTTTCTAAGTGATCGATTTGTCCGCTTTTAAGGTCCTTCAATGTTAACTCTATGAATAGATATGTCGGAGTGACGAGCGGTTTGTAGAATTCAATCCTTCCATTGTGGGCGTGCGTATATCGGAGATAATGAAATAACAATCGCGTAACATTAGAAACACTATTCTTAGTTAACCACCATCCTAATTGATAACTTCACAACACACTTTAAACGAATTGCAAACATTTACAAAAAATAACCAATCGATTTTATAATAACAAAACGCATCATTCCACTATTCAAATGACAGCTGTCATCAGTCATTCTATCGTCGTCTTGCATGCACATTCAGCCATTACTCAAAATTATTAGTTGCCAGTTACTTTAATTGTTCAAAAAGTATATATTTGTAGATTGATTTATGATAAAACATAGATGAGGTTGTGGCATTTGAGATGATTAAAACGGGCTTAATAATATACATAAATGCGACCACTGTCTATATACCAACCAACTCATCCAATGTACTAATTCGCAGGTTAGTATGTCTCCGATCAAGTATACTTATGCGTTAAGTTGCTGATTTGACTCCATTATGCATAAAAAGATTTTTCTCGCACGAATTTTGTCTTACCTTCAAGGAAAGACTGAAGTTTGAGCACCTGAATTGTTAAACCTGATTTTAAATGATGAGAAATATGAAATGAATTCTAAAATTTCAGCATGAACTAGTTTTATAAAGACTCTTATGAATATAAGAGAGAAATAGTTAAAGCTTGAGCGAAGCTTAATAGGAATGCTCTACCGCTGGTATTCTTCGCTGCTATAAAGTGAAGCATACTTCTTCAAACTCAAGAAATCGAATAGTTCCTTCACATAGTTTAAACGTTTTCTTTATATCTATACCTCATTTGTCTTAAAGTTAGATAGACAATATTATATTGATAAAACATTACTGACATTTATTCCTTGCATACCTGTTTAAATAAAATTAAAACACATAATATGGAAGTATAAAATCATTGCAGTTACTCTCCTCTCCTTGGTTTTGTGTATCATCATTATCATCACCATCATCATAATCATCATCATCATCATCGTTAACATCATCATCATTATGCTTTATATTTTTTTTGGATAATATTTTGGAACAAATAAATCTGTAAATAGAGAAAGATTACTATTTAGTTTGTTACATTTTTTCAAAGAATTCAATTGATCCATTTTAATGAGTTTTGTGACGTCAAAGTATATTAGTAATAAAATTACGAATGTTGTACAGACATTTAACCATACATGTAAGTTTATTTATGTATAAACTAGCTTTCGCCCGCGACTCCGTCCCCGTGAAATAAAAAAAGCAAAAGTAACTAGCCTATGTGTTCTTCCAGTCTATCCTCGACATATATGCTAAATTTCATCCACACGCGAGCAGCAGTTTACGCTATAAAGCCTGACATACATACACTTATAAACAGACTTTCCATACATAAAAAAAAGCATTTACAATATTAGTAAGATATAATAAACATAATTATTTCCGCCCTCGTCTAACACATTATCGGTGTGCAGTATTCACATAAGCTCAGGTAATATATGGCGGATCCTAAATTAAATTCTCGAGCGTGGAATGTTGTAATTTATCCGGCTTTATTATTATCATGTAAAAGTTTTTCTCTCCAAGACTTTGTGTCACAGAGTCTTAAAATTACTTTGTTTATTTTAAGACTATGTTCGAAATTGAACAAGTCTTCGATCAAATAACAAATTGATGAATCACGTTATCCCATAGCGGCTGTTAAATTCCACTGGCAACTAACGAGTTGGTGGTTTAAAAGAAAATCTGAGTCAATACTTTAATTTATTTAGAAGTGCGATAATATACTAACAGTGGTAGTGCCCGCTTTAACATCTTAGCACGAATGGGCCGGCACCCCCCCTAGTAATACCACGACCACACAGAAGACAGGCGTGAAATGGAAACAATTCCATGTTTCGTCTGATGAGTGTGGTGCCGGAGGCCTAATTAAAGTCCCTTTCTCTTTACCAGCCTTTTCTTATAAAGAGAGGTTGGGAAGAGGTAGGGGATTTGACAGTGGCGGAGATTCACAGGAAGGGGAAATATCCTCTTTATGTGCGTCTCCTCCTCCGTCGGATAAGGGTAGGCAACACATCTTCAATTGCGGATGTCTATGGGCAGCGGTCGCTTCGCCATTTTGGCGATTTCAGGTGGCCGCTTGCTCGTTTGCCACCTTATGTAATAAAAAATATAATATATAAAAAAGTTTACCACCTATAATACAAAGGTACAATTTGTAACAAATATAAAAATAGACAAAGTTTTCGAACAAAGGAACGTAAATTTCAATCAAAGTAAAGGCGTACGATCAATATCAGGTAGTTAAGAAAATTGGCTGGCAGTTTCCATTTTAAGTTTCTAATGACTCATCGAAGTTCACTTGGGAAGTTATTTTTACTGCCTTCAGCGGCACGTTTGTGCCATAGTTTGAAATAACAGTTCCAATTGCCGATCAAATTGATTTATTAATTAAAAAATTGCCGAACGCTCATTGTAAACTTCAATTAGAGTATTAGAAGGGAGTGGTAAACTGTTAATTTTCTTTTTAAATGGAAGAGAATATTAGCCTCAATGAAGAACAGTTCCGAGAACTATTTTTTTTATAATATAAGGTTGGCAAACGAGCAATCTGCCACCTGAATCCAAAAAATGGAAAGCGACAGCTGCCCATAAACATCCGCAATTGTAGATGCGTTGCCTGCCCTTAATTGACAGAGAAGAACACGCACAAAAAGAGGACATTTCCCTTTCCTATGCGTCTCCTCCACCGTCAAATTAACTTTTATTTCCCATCCTTTTCTCTTAAGAAAAAGGTGGAAAGGAAAAGGGATTAAAATTAGGCCTCTGGCACCACACTAATCAGACGAAACGCGGAATTGCTTCCACTTCACGCCAGTCTTCTGTGTGGATATATTTGGATTGGATTCTGTATTTGGATAACACCTAACTCTCTCATATCTATGTGTAATGATTGAAATTACAAAAAAATACGTGAATATATTTTCAGATAACATTTCAGAGCTCTACCTTTTTATTCTTACATTGATGACTGAGATGACGTATGATAGAGTTATATGGAGGACAAAAACCTGTTGAGCCGACCCTACGAGATTAGGATAAGTAGAAAGAAGATGATGATGATGATTGAAACCTTTAGTATGATAACAGATTTTTGGATAGAGAAAGAGAGATTTGAGAACATAAAACAAATCTTTTCGCATATACAAGATAATACTATAGTTACCTATCTCAGAAAGATTCACGATTCAAGCTATAAATTAATAAAATCTCGATTGCAATGTCCGCTAGACGGCATCCGAGGGATTCTTACATTTCCGATAGCTATCGGAATTTTATTTCCATTTAGAGTTTCTTGTTGTAAGCGAGCGACCTTGTAATACCGCCTGGCGACAGCTGCCGGTTCTCACAAACTCATTTTATATAGCCCCACTGGCAGGACCTTACTACTTTTTGTACGAACCCACGATATTTCGTCCTAATAGTTAATGAAAATTAATCTTATTGAAATTTTCGTGAGAGATTTTGATTTCATTCATTAAAATAAACTAGTAGGTAACCTGGCTTCACGTTCATATAAATTTAGTCACAATTTAAATTAGAATTACGACTAGTTTTTTCTTTTTTTATTTCTTTTTCTATATGACGTTTGGATTTCCTAATAAATTTAAGAAAAAAATTACGTTTCTGTTTTTATAAAATTGACAAGGAAACGAAATTATTAATCTTTCAATTTAAATTCCATTATTTTACGTCTTTTTAAAGAAATTGTTTTACCAAGACTAGATAGATAAAAAAGATGGCGGATGTCATCCAGAGATAATTTTAACAAGGTAATTAAAGGGAAATTCAGATAAATCAGAACGTAGTGTGAACACAGTCACTGGCATGTCTATCGATAAAGTCAAGTTGAAATAAAAATATGTGGGCGTTAAAATCTTAATGGAAATGTTCACTGTTGTATGAAATTCATAAGGTTCGTATTTTTATTATCAAAGATTTCTTTTTTCATCTAAAGTTCTTTGATGTCGCTCCTTTACCTTTATTTCTTGTTCGGGACTTATTAATAATTTACCTGAATAATTATTAAAGAAACATTTACTGGAGCCTAAGATTTTGCTTTGGGTAATTATAAGCTACAGTTTCTCTTGAAAGTTAGAAATTATTACGTGATATTTGATATCGAAAGTAAAATATTTTCTAAGAACATTTTTATTGGTTATTAAAATTACTACAGCTGAGCGGACCTGAAATCAGCACATAAAGCTGCCATACCCGGACTGCTTCAAGCAAACGGCTTTAATAATCGCCCAATGCCGTACACCAGTTTGTAGTAATTGCTGAAAGTGTAGATAGTGTTTTGTTTTTCATAAAATGAGTCAATCTTTTCCTTTAATACCTTGGTTCATCACCAGCTCACTTTACGTCCACACCGAGGGTCTCGGACCCTACCCTAATTAGGGTGACTAGGCCATAGTTAACCACGCTGCCCTGCTGCAGGTTGGTTGAATTCACAAATATCTTTAAACTTCTTCGCCGATATGTGCAGATTGAATCACGATGTTTTTCGTCACTGTAAGAACGTCGGGTAAATTATGTACATATGAAAATTGGTACACGGCGGATTTCGAACCCCAAGACCTGTAGATTACAAGTCAAGCGCTTAAACCACTAAGACACCGACGCTCAGATGCCGTGGTTACAATATTAAAAGACCTGAAGTTGTAAAGAAATCATTACTTCTAAAGATAAATTCTTCTAAAAACATAGACATGAATTCTGATTGATGACACTTTTTAATGAAAATCCAAATATCACCACATTTGACGGGAAAAAAAGCTTTGTTTCCGCATTCCTTTGAACCTCAAAGGTTTTATTTCGGAGCGTATAATATTTGGCGGCAGATAAACACTCGCCCTGCGTTGGTCCTTTGTTATCGAGACTAGGAAACGAGCCGGAAAATAAAACGTTGTGTAATAACAAACGATATGAAATATCGTATGAAACATGATATAATTCAATAAAATCCCTTAACTCGGAGAACTAACTTGATTTAGATTATATTTAAGACTAGCCTTTGACCGCGACTCCCTCGCCTTTAAATTTAAAAATAATAATAAAGAAACGAAAAGATAAATCCTATGTTAGCCATAGATAAATTACCTTTCTAACGGGGAAAGAATTTTTAAAATCGTCCTAGTAGTTTTTGAGCCTGGTCATTACAATCAAACAAAAATTTCCTCTTTATAATATTGGTATAGATACATTTGGAGATTATATTAGTGTCTATAGATATTAGTAAAGATACTTTTTGCAACATATATCTTGTATAAAACACCTGGTGTCAAATGCGTTGCCTGGGAAGAGGAAATAGGGAAGGGAGGTCAGTTGCCACCTCCTTAGAGAATCGAAAAATCTAAACTAAATGTAATATGTTAGGCACTTTAATATTTTATTCAAATATATAAATAACCATAAAAACAATCTACAATTTTAACATAGATAGATTAATAGCTTGTTAAACAAACATAATAGCTGTTTGCGAGCACATCGGTATCACAACGTGCATTCCCAGCACAAAAGATATACGTTTATAATTAATATACGCTGAAACGCGCGAGTACAGACGTAATCGCTATAATGAAATACAAGCATATGCATTGTAATGTGATTTTCTTTAATTAACTAACGTTATGAATAAAAGTAACACTTATTTTCATCATCACATCACTATACGTTCCTACTGAAGTGATACGGTTATAGTCAACTACGCTGGTCCATAGCGGGCTTGTAGCACATATCTTTAAATTTCTTTTCCGATGTATACAGGTTGCATCACGATGTTTTCCTTCGTCGTATTTAATTATTTTTCCGTATAAAGTGTAAATTAGGGAATAGCGTTAGAAGTTGTAAGGAAAGTGTTGAACGTTACAAACCTAAGTAGAGATGGGCAGTTTTCGTAATGTGACATTATCGATTTCAAAGACGAAAATTTGTATCGAACCTCATCTAAAGGTAGATATTGAAAAAAAAACCGTTTATGCTTTATACATTTAATTTCATTATTCATATTCTACTTAACATAATAATTTTAAATGGCCAGGAATTAAAACAGAATCAACAATCGCTTTAGTTTGGAAATAATTGAATTTTAATATTTTAAGAATAAATTAATAAAAAATATCATAGAGTTCTTAAGTTACATTGACTTTAGCGTAAAAAGACACATAAAAGCGATTGTCGAAGATAGGATTCCGCACATTTAATATCATAATATATTTTTAATCTGTGGAACTAAAAGCTATTAAATTTAACATACAATCTTTATATTAACTTTTTAATGTTTTAAAATATATCTTCTGCTTTCATATACATTTCTTGACGTATCACATCCTTTAGCCTAACAAATATTTCTCTACAATAGTCAGTGTAAAGAGCTGCAGGAAGACTTTTTACACCAAGGAAACATTCAACTTTTACATTTTCATACAAAAATATCACAAACATCAAAATTCCCAGAAGAAAATAAAGAAAAAAAAGATAACACTTCATTTACTTAGTCACTTAATAACGATAAAAATGGCAAAATATGCTTTTTAAATATTTTTCTAAGGGTCTATGAATATTTCTGACAGTTGAATTAACTTATTCGTAACGAAATCGACAAATTTTTATGACATTTTTTCTTGCACTTTACCTAGGTCGCTTGAAGCTAATACATGATGAGCCCTATCTTTGTTTTTAGGTTAGGTCTTTTAATTTACATAAAGAATGGAAATGAATTACAATCAATTACGTAAGCAAAATTGTTATTGTTTATGTTAAAATTAAGTTCATCATCATCCACTTGTCCTTATCCCTTACGGAGGGTCGGCGCAGTATGTGCTGCTCTTCCATACATCTCTACTCCGTCATATCTGAATCCACTCTTCACACAATCCATCCATACTTTCTTTGGTCTTTCTCTTCCTTTGTAGCCATCCACATTCATTCATAAAACTAAGTTCAAATTTTCCTCATAGCATTTGATGTTTGTATATTTTTCGAAAAGTATTTAAAAGTCCAATGCTTCTTTGATAATCTCTATTAACATTATAACTATGCTCTTACAGCGTCACATTAATATCGAAAACATCTGTTAAAACATACAGACAAATATCTTGAATCATAAAATATTCTCTCACTATCGAAAATTCAATTAATCGCGCTTAATGTTAGTAAGCATTTCTGGCAATAAGGAATTTAAAAATACAAACTTTAAAACTCTATTTAAAAAAAAAAACACGATTTTACAGTAAGAAAAACAAACGGTGTTTTAGACTGATTACAATCATTAAAAATATTTTTGTCTTAAAACTAGTAAGATTTTTTTATAAGTAATAAAATATGCAAACTCCGATAACAGTGATTCGAACACAACCATAATCCCAAAAAAGGAATCCTTACATAGAAATTGTTTACAAACTCGATCGCAATAAACACTTTGTTCTGAATTAAATAAACACGAAAACCTTGGCACGGCACCAATGCCAACTCAAACCAAATAACTCGAGTCACTAAGGTCATTTTGTACGAACTTAAGAGAGAAACAAATGAAAACGAAACTGTCAATTTTGTTTAGAACATTCAGAACATATTACTCTCAAAATGGACCCAAATTAACTAACAATTCTATAGGAATAAGCTGAGTATGCAGTATTAATTTATATAATAAATAGATCTCCAATATTATACGACAATAATGTAATAATTTCATCGCTTATTATAACATTAATTTACTTTTGTCACATTCATAACATTTATAAGTATTCTGGTGTTACATAAATATGAGAACAACACTAAAAGCGGTGTAAGAGTGATGCCATACGGGCGTTGCGTTATCTAAAACGACAGAGGAGCGTTGTTCCAAAAGGATTTCTTTGGCCATAGGTATTACGTCACAAAAGGCACATGAAAGTATCAATTCAACTGACATGAACTCCATGAAGTATGACATAAAAATGCACCAAATTGAATCGGTCACCACAAACGCTCGTCTGGCAATCAGAGTCGAAACTACAATGCTGCGATACGCAACGTCTGTGTGGCATGGCACTAAGTTTCAAGTACAACCAACGTTTTCTAATAGACATTAAAAGGACTTGGGATATCTCTAGGAATATTATATGGATATACATCTAGTACCTTGTCAGGGGAAAGTGAACGAATTTGAGTTGTAGAAATTGAAAAAGGAGTCGTTCATATAGCAAATATATAAAATTGCGTGGCAAAATGTTGATACAGTAAAAATTAATGACATAAATAGTAGAATTGCATACGAAAATAATACAGACCATCTTATTACAAAATGGTTTACAACTTTACTTCTAAGATATAGTTTTATTTCTATCGAAGAATAACAGTTGTATTTGGTTACATTTGTTAGCAATGAAAGTGTTAGAAAACTTTTACATAAAATTACATTATTAAATAGGATTGTAGAGTTTTAAAAATACATAAAATCTTTGAGTTTATTGAAATTATTTTTAAGCAGAACACCCTGTCTACAAAGGAGTTGTAATTGACATGCAGAAGCTCCGGAATAAAAATTACTTTCATACGTGAAAAATAACAAAAAAACATCGTTTATATCATTTGTAATAACATAATTTAATATAAGAAATATCTGATTTTCTCTGTACAAAAATAATAGACATTTAAGCGATAGTTACATTACGATATAGGGTCACTAATGCGGATTGACATAGATCGTTTATTAAGTACTGCGGTTGCTAACTGTAATATCTATACGAGCTCCTGTGTCGGTAAAATATTTAATATATTAGTAGAAGCTCATGTAAGAGAATGCCGTAGCCCAGAATCCAAAGACGGTGTGGTATAGACGACGCAGTCGAATTAGCTTGGCTATTCTCAGTTAGTGGTCGTTTGAGGCTTAACTCGTTCATTTCAACTGTTAAAATAATTGGTGAACATTAAAATAAATATGGTATCAGCAATAATTCTGGCTTCGAACTTGGTAAGTAGCTTCTTGGTAGGTTAGGTAGGTAGGTCATTTATTTTACAAGTTGAAATAGTTGAGTTTCAAGTATTACCTGACACAGTTTGTTTCTTGAGATCAGCGTATCGCTCTCCGGGGCCGACTTCGTCAGGGATAGTTGCGGTGCAGGTAAGCTGCAGTCTGCCATGCGCCGGAGTCCGTAACTCCGCGATAGACACCCATAGAGATATCGGCACTATTTGAGGCTCCCGAGGCTTCTCGCGGATCTATGATATTGAAGGAACATTAGTATATATTCAAATTGTAATAGGGTTAGGGAAAAAATAATCCATTATTTTAGATATGTGGCTGTGATATTTCGTGCAATTTTTATTTTTGCTCGTTATAAAGATGACAGTTTACACTAAAGTTTACAGCTGTTCCTTATTTGTTCCTAAAAGGTATGACTTACAGGCTGTTTAAAATAGATTTTTACAAAGAAACTTGCTGAATTCCAATAAATCATAAGACAAAAGATAGGATTTTCCGATAATTCCCAACCGTCACTCTGCTATGTCTCCACATGGAGACAGAATAAAAAGTTTCATCCGTCCCCCCTTTTGCGACAAGGGTACGGTTGGTACTTATTTTATTTCGTAACGGTTCCATCTATCACCTTTTTGGTGACCGTGGGACTAACCAGTGGGACGGTTGAAACTTTTTATTTTCACGTGGGGATGAGCGGGGTGACGGTTGGAAATAATTCGGATTTTCGACCTAACATTTAATAAAGATATGTATGTAATAAGTATAAAAGCACAATAAAGATTATTAAGTAATTTTAGTTTACCTTTTTCATTTCTTCACTTTGCGCTTCGTTCAAAGTACATTTATTATGTTTTGTGGTGTTCGGCGTTACTGTAGTCGTTTCACTAACAAGAGCCCAGTACTTAGCGGTGTAGTTAAACTCAGGTGCTATATATCGATGGTGATATTTTCTGTTTTTATATCCACCGCCGCCTTTAGTTCTTGTGGAACTTGATACTCTGTATGAGAAGTATTTGATTGAATCCTCCGGTACCTAAAAGAAGCGGTTTTTAAAATGTTTTTGAAGACCGAATACTCACACTACATTTAAATATGTAACAGCCTCTGTCGTCAATCGCACAACAATTGTGCTATTGTCGATTGTCAATTGTTTTGCAGTCAATTCAAGCCAAAGTTTAGTTGCTCAACTAAACATCAAGTAGTCTGCGCACCTCCATTTAAGCCCTTATGAGCTTCAGGGATGAGAGTTTCAGGTGTATACACGCTCTTATACTCCAAATGCCATCAAAATGTTGACATCTGTCAGAATGTGTCATTCGATGTGTTAAGGATTTGTTTCAGGATTCGGCCATGAGAGTGATAAAAATAGAAATGTACATTTGAGTTCTTTGTTTTCAATCAATTGGAAAATGTCTATGTCATAACTTTCTCCTCGGTCTATTTCGTGAATTTTTTATGTTATTTCCTTTTTCTTGAGTCCTTGGAATTATAAAATAAATGCCAGAACACAATAACTGCAATTACATCGATCCGGTAGCCGACAAATGAATTGTTAATGTTTTTCCATACGTAGTATTCCCATTACTTATTAATTTATTCATGTAGCTTGTGTGTTTATAGTTGGTAAAATTTTCACAATAACTTCTTTAAAATTTAGGAAAATCAATTATAAAGGCAATCTATAAATACAGATATGTAATGAATTTATCATTGTTAAAAGTTAAATTTATGATATTTTCTTGGTACTCAGGCCTTTCAACAAAAAAAAAAAACATAGATCGTTTCGATACATTTCGATTAGAATATTGAATTGAAGTCCACAGAGAACATGGACGCGTGCGCACCCCATCACGACTCAAATCGAACTGACACACTGACAGTTTAACAAGATTGCCGCTCTACCAGTACTCGGTGTTCGTCATAGACAAAGAGTAAGCCAACAAATTACCTTTTCATTGTCAATATACCAAGTGAGTCGGGGCGCTGGTGCTGCAGGCGCGCTGGTACAATTAGCTCGCAGCAAACCTTCGACAACCACATCGGGTTTTCCGAAAGTTATGATCGGCGGATGTTTTTGGGCATCTGATTAAAAACGTACGTTGTTATTTTTACGACATAAAATTTATTAACGTTGTTAAAAATGCTACGAGACTAGTCGCTCGGGACTGCGTCTGTCCGGAATTTAAAAACTTAATTAGTATCCCATGTAGTCCTTCAGACTAAGTTCTACATCTATAAAAATCCAAAACGACTAGTTAGTTGTTTTGTAGACATATAAATCTCCATTCATACAAACTTTCGCATTCATATTATTAGTAAGATAACCACAAATAGTCATATTAAAATCCCGAAGTGGTTGAGGATTCTCTAGGATGCGAAAGTTCCGGCGGAGGTGTACGATGGATGGATGGATGGATAAATAGTTTGCGAGTTTAAGGGCCCGTCCCACCATATTGTAAATTGTCTGATAATAATCCAACGTGTAAAATTTGCGATGATTATTGAATATTATTCCCTTATCTGACAGTGACGCTAATTTTAAGCTATCTGAGCCTCTATCAGCTAGTAGTGGGACAAGCCCTAAGAAGTGTAGTGATGTTCATCGAAATCAAAGAAATTACGGTTTGAAAGTTCTAAATTCCCGTTTACTTTATGTTTTTTTTATTGTTGAAAATCTTTGAGATTATCCCAAAAGTAGATTGGATTTATCTATGATTGAGGAAGTAGTACTCAAGGGCAATATTATTATACTTACAGACGACAGTCAACTGATGCGGCGGCGAGGCTGCCGTAAATATGGGCGTCTCTAGGGACACCTCGCACCAGTACAGACCTGACGCTGAAGGATCCAAGTTCTCGATTGTTATAGAATTCTCAGTCACGAGAGACATCTGCAGCAAAGTATAAGGTCGATAATCTGTTTTCATGTATGTAGTTACAACCCTATCTGTTTTAATACTTTATTTTATAGTTGATATTTTAACGTACTGTTTGTTACAGTTTCATTTTAGCAATTACAATACCTGGTTTTTTTTTATCATTATAATACTGATATAGTCATTAAATAATGTACAGATAGCGTTACTGATCATTAAATGATTCTAAGAGTGGCAGTGTTGTTATAATTATAAAAATACAGATAAAAAAAGGATTTTCTAAGACTTACGTTTAACTTTCCGCCGGGAAATGTGTAATTGGTAAAGGGCGGAACTCTCTCGCGCACATACTGCAGTACTTTAGCTCCGGATCTCAAGAATTCCACTTTATAGAGAAGTTGTGGTGGTACCTAATACCAAAGAAAAGCAATTGTAATCATTACTTTCATCTACTTAGTTATTAAGATCAGTTAAATTACAATTTATTTAAACACTTTTTTTTCTGTAAGAAAAACGAAACAATTTGATGCCATGCACTATCGCTTGGTAATTGCTGATTTGAAGAAAAAAATCATCAAAAATATCAAAATAATTAAAAACAAACATTAATTAGCATTCCATCTCAAAGTGGTTGCATACAAAGTTCCTCGCACAAACAAGGCAACGCGGTGTTTTCGTTCGCGAGACGAGATCTTTTATTTATAGTAAAACGCGGGGGCGGCGCAGAAAGTGGTTTACTCTGCTATTAATGTCTTGCGAGAACTTTCAAACAATTGCTTGTAACTTTTCTGCATTATTTAATGCTTAAATATTATTCCTATAGCGTACATAACTATTCTAAACAACTATTATACAAAATATAAACTCAACGCTAATTATTTTTCCAGACCGGACTAGAACAATTCTCTCACATCTACGTTCTTTCAATCTAACTTCTGGTAGGACTGGTAGGACTTCTAGTAGAAAATGCTTCCCTGGTATTACTCCCAATTGACCCCTATATTTATGGTGGTGGTATTAAACTGCACAAGACTGCTACTTCAAATATTTCATACCTGATGAAGACATCGCATAGTCGCAGAGCCACCTCGTGCGACCCAACTGGGTGCTGTTAGACGGACATCTACATCTGTTGCCTGGCCGCTCCCTGCAACATACTATCATATAACCTTTGTCCTAGGCAAGAGTGACATATCTGTTATGTGTAAACCGTATCGGCGGTACCGTTAACGATGAATAAATCACGACTAATCATTTTATGTTTGGTTTATTTCGTTCGTTTATAACGATTTATCCGAAACTCTAGGATTAGAAATGGTCAACATACATATTATAAAAAATATACTCGTGTTTTATTTAGGAAGTAACTTAAATACGCTTTTAGCAATTAATGTTATTTGCAACATCCTTAATAACGTATCCTTTCATAGAAAGGTCGAAGTTATTCAATTGGGAAGATCAATTTACTCATTCACGCCTCTTAATTAAGGTCGGGTTTCTCTAAATGAATAGTGTGTAAGGGTTAATATCGTATTTACACAATGAAAACACACAAATAATACATAAGTACATAAGATACCATTTATATGAATTACATTGTAACTTGGAAGTGTACTTAAACATAATGTTTTGATAAGGAAGGTATTCTGAACCATTGTTATACCTATGGATATATTGGTGTAGAACATAAACTGTAATATAGGAAAAGATCCAGAGGGACAGGCGGATATGTTTGTATAGAGATGACGTCATCTGATGACGTCATCCGGGTGCGCGTCCGGGACATGTCAGCGGGTACGGACAATGACAGCTAAGGTAAAAAGCTGACAACCCAGCTTAGTGTGCTTTGTATGAGTTTAAGAGGTGTCAGACATTTAAGAAATATATAGACTAGGCATAGTGAGCAAAATTTTTTCATCGGTACTTCCTCTGGCAGGTAATATATCAGTTGTCAAATTTAATGCCGCCGCGTGTCCTTGTATTGACATTTTACATATTTTCATCTTATGTTACAAAAGAAAATAAACAGTGTCACAAAATAAAATACAAACATTTAAATATTAATCAATGAGACCTATTGACAAATAATTTAAATAAGATTGATTACATTGACATGTGGTTTTGAGGCTCTCAAAAGACAGCGTTAGTAATGATACGTGAAAATCATTTTGATTGCAGTGTCAACTATGCTTACTCTGTATATTTTATATATCACACGATAATTCGATAGAAATTACTTACCTTCTTTTACGATAATTGTTAAACATATCAAGAAGCAGAGCCATCTCGTGTTCGGCACCATCGCCCACGACTCTAATCAACTCTTACACCATCACTGGCTAAATTTCCACTTTGGAACTGTTTATAGGAAATCCGAACGACGTATCATGCTGATTCATTCATTCATAATTTCATCACACGAACAACATCTGCAAGGAATGTGAGATTTAAATAATTTTGTAGATACTATTTAATATGTAAGAGATACGTCTTAGCGGTTTAAATACTTGACTTGTACTGCAGGTCCTGGGTTCGAATTCCGCTGTACCGATTTGTTTCTCGATTTTCATTTGTATATTTACCCAGTGTTTTACGATGAAGGAAAATCGTGATGCAATCTGAACATATCTGTGAAGTCAACCTGCAGTGGACAAGCTGGGTCATAGTCACCCATAACTTAGGGTAATTTAATTAGGCTCCAAAACTCTGATGAACGTATGAGCAGATGAAAGCAGGAGCTGATGATGGTACAGAATTGTATTAATAGTTTAATGTGTTTAATAATTTTTTAAAGGTTATTTTATTATAACTTTTTCGTCTCCTACTCGAAAAGTTTACGCTTATCGCTTACCAGTGTTTTAAAAACAGCTCTGAGACCAATCTGATCGATAAAGTTTCGAACTAGGGCGTCCTCTGCCGACACTACACTTACTTCTGAATCATAAATTTTCTTCGTCTCAATATCCTGACAATCTATTCTCAGTTACAAAACATTTATTTTTACATTATTTCACATACTGCAATAGATAAGCGTGAGCCTGAATGTTGGTTTGGAGAGTTTATGTTTTGATTTTACCAAGTCGATATAACGACCTACAGAAATGATGTTTTAAAATCTCTATGCCTAGTTTGCATTAGATCTTGTCGAGTAAGTCATTTAGCAACTAAACGAGTTAGAAAACACAAAAAATTGTCAAGTAGATTTATAGATGAGACAATTTTAGCTACTAAATTATTCAGTACTCGACTAAACTAGTCCAGTACAGTACGAAATAGACTTAATCGAAACTGGACGGAAATAATCACGTATTGGCGGAACTCTAAAAATAGTATCTTCACCAGACAATTTTGAAGTTAAATGTTTTTTGACAAAACATTTATAAATTGACTAGGTGCATTATTTTAAAGAGCGTCGATGGCTCAGTGGTTTAAGCGCTTGACTTGTAATCTATAGATCTTAGGTTCGAATCCCGCCGTGTACCAATGTGATTTTAGAATTTTCGAATTTTCATATGTACATAATTTACCCAACGTACTTATGGTGAAGGAAAATAGGTGATGCAACCTGCACATATCGGCGAAAAAATTCAAAAATATATCAACCAACCCGCAGTGGGCCAGCGTGGTTGACTATGGCCTAGTCACCATAACTTAGGGTAGGCTTCGAGCTCCTCAGTGGGGACATATAGTGAGCTGGTAAACTAATCTAGTAATACAATGCTTCCTTGATTCTTTAAGAACTTTTAAATATAAATCGATAAACTGTAAACTATGATTTTATTAATAACTTTTTATTGACATTTATAATATTAGAATACGATTACAACTTACAAATATTGTAAATGTTATGACACTTTTAAATATCATTTTAAAATTCATAACAATAGCAGTACGATGTAATAACATAAATTGTACCCGCAGTTCTGTCGCAACACAAATACAATCAAGTAAGTGACAGCTTTCTGATATTACGTTCGCGTATGTTATAGTGGGTTTTCACTGTGGAAACGCTAGCATAAAAACGTATTTCCGTCTCTGTCATTTTTATTAAAAAAGCAAAGACAACAATAATCTATACTTGTATACTAATATTATAAAGACCAAAGATTTGTATTTTTATATATAAATTACAGGGATTTTAAAAATGCTCACTCTCTCAATTCTCATCAAAAAGCTAGGTTATCAGTGAGTAACATAGGCAAAAAATCATTTTTTAATTATACGTGGACGAAGACGCAGGCAACAGCTAGTGCTCAATACAATAATGGTCCACCATCTGGCATTACCCCTAATTACATAGGTTATATAATTTGGCATAATTTTAATACAAATATGACAGATTAATTCAAATTCCAATTTATTGCAGTTATGTAATAAGTCATATTAAATTTCATAAAGCGACTGCAATATTAAATTAATATAGCTAGTGTTGTTAGGCAAACGACAGATGGCATTGCCTACGCGATAATAAATACCTTGCTCCGACATACTGCATGCTTTATTGAATATATTGTGTTCTACGCTTTTAGAATTACATTTTAAAATTGTTCAATGTATACTTGTACTATTAAACGTCAAAACTAAACAGTAGAAATATTCTTTTATTAGGCAATTTTATTAGCTTTGTAAGTAAACCTATCGACATATCATTTAATACAGAAGATGGTTTAGATACTTCATTCAAAATACTTCAACGATCAAAACTTTGCCTATCATCATCAGCTATACGTCTTAATTGGCTCGGAGTCTACCTAACCTACCCCTAAGTTAGGGGTGTCTCGGTCTTAATCAATCACTACACATATCTTTGTATTTGCAGGTTGCATCACAATGTTTTGTTTGAATGTAAGAAATTCAGTTTAATTGTCTTTGTAATTCCAAAATCTAAAAACATCGGTACATGGCGGGATTCGAACCTAGAATTTGAAGCTTGGAAGTCAAGTGTTTAATCCCTGTGCCATCGATACCCTGTCTCCAAAGAAATACAAAGGAAAATTTTATTGTCTTAAACTAAAACAAACTGTAAATGTTATAAAATAATCTCGAGCAATTCCATTTAATTAAGTCTATCATAACTTTAAATTAAAAACCTGGAACTGCGCAATAAATTACACCGACAGCTTAATAAGAATTGTTGCGTTAAATAAAAACAGATGCCTCTACATAAATACTCCCTATGCAAGTTTCTTACTTTAGAAATATACTAGCTTTCGTCCGTGAATCCGTCTGTGTGGAGTTAAAAAAAATAAAACCAAATAGCCTATGTGTTCTTCCAGACTATCCTCTACATCTATGCCAAATTTCGTCGAGATCCGTTCAGCACTTTACAAACTCTAACAAACATCTTTCCGTCCATCTAAACTTTCGCATTTATAATATTAGTAAGATTACTATGCGTGGACACTAACATGAGACAAAGTAAAATTTTAATAAAGTTTGCTAATAAATTGAGAATTTTATTAAAATCTTCGTTCAAGATAAGAACAATACATGTAAGAAAGTTTACAAAAAGTAACAGGAAAATCTAAGATTTAGTATTTAATCTATGAATATTAGCATTTACTTTACCATTCCAAAAGTTACGATCCCACACAAGTAAGAGAAACTATTGCAATAAATATTAAAACTTACCTACGATATGCCAATATCAATTATTTGAAAAGTGCTCAACTTTATAGAGCGTAATTGACACTGAAAGTATTAAAAGTTAGACGGCGACTCGACTCAAGTAAGGTCGAGTTCGACTTAGCAGTTTCAAGAAATTTCCAAGTATATATGTAGTTGCAGTTCTGGAGCCCGAAATATTTGCAATAAATCAATATTATTACATAAAGCGCCCGCCCACGGCTGCCTCACGTATGCGCAGGCTTTCAAATTTATTGACGTCACTGCTTTTAATCTTGATTCAGCATTTCCACTCGGATATTTATTTTCACACTTTCGATATTCATACAAAATGCAAGGTTGTTTTAGTCTACGTGGAAGGTGCAAGTCGACGTAAAAAGAACTTAATTATACGATTTTAAACAGTAGCTAGATATGAATAATTTAAAATGAGACTACAATATTTTTGTTGACACGCAGGCTCGAAAACAAAACACAACCAAAACAAAACAACACGATTGATACGAATGTTGATTTGATTAAGTCTACCTGCTTAATTATTGTTAAAAAATATGCTTCCCATTGCGATAATTTTGATTATTATTACTTGATATAATAAATCAATTATACGCAACATAACTAATGTAAATGATAATAAAAATATTTAAGTTACTTAAAGTACGTAATCAAAAACCCGTCCTTCATAAAACGATGTTTTTTTCAATTACTGGGGTAGTCGTGGTATATTCAAGTGCGCTTAAGTCACCTTGACAGGCACGGCGGCGAGGAAAAAGCCCTTTAAGTCCGTGTCACAATCCTTGTAAAACAAAAGGACACTTTTAAATTATAAAAAACTTAAAACGAAACCTCATGATACGCGGCCTTTTTAAACTTCTATAAAAATATCTCTGTTTCATTTAATTCAAATAGATAAGAGCCTGTCCCACCACTGGCCGATAGAGGCTCAGATAGCTTAAAATGACATCACTGTCAGAAATGGTAAGAAAATCCGATATTTCCATCACATATTTTACACGTTGGATTGTTATCAGACAATTTACAATTTGGTGGGACAGGCCTTTAGATTACTAAAAGTTGATAAAAGAGGCGGTTGATAAGTGTACTTTGAATTAAAAAAAAAGTACACTTACAAAACTAACGTAACTGCAATCAGTAACTTATCGCAGTCTATGTACCTATAGTTGTATGGATGTGACGACAGAGGTGTGTCTGAATCGCTATAAATAGAAGTGTCTATGACATGACCTTTATAGGTTATGTTCCAAATATAAATTAAACTAAGTTATTAATAAGCTAAAAAGAGTCTAGGACATCGAAGAGCACCACCCTAGGTTTATAGAACAGTCACTCATTATGAGCTTTGATACACTGCAAAAGGTATATTTTTAATTATAAAATACATAACAAATTATAAATTACAGTAGTGTTTAAGATTACATACATATGCTGGTATGGCTTCATAAACATTGCATATTTATGTATCTATAGAATTGGAGTCAATACGTACGTTCATATTCAAGTGTCTTACTAACCAATCACAGTATTCTATCTAGCATATGATTGACAATTAAACTAACGTCAATTATAAATGCAATTTACGTTAAAGGTAAAACTTTTGAACTAGGTCATGAAATACCTAATACTAAATACCGTTTAGGATATTTTAGATGCCATCGACAGCTCAAAGTTCCTCCTGCGCAGATCATGCGCATTACCAGTTGCGCAAATTTCGACCTTATAAGTAAGTACTTATAAAACTTTTTTCCGACGCAGAAAAAGTTTCGAACCATTTATGCATGTAAAAAGTTTTATTCACCTTTATTTCAATCATAAAAGATTTATTTACTATAAAAATATTAACTTTACTTACGTGAATGAAAATTCGTCGTCCATTAACTAATTACCTATAGAACTTTGGTCAAAGGTTTCTTGTAGCGCGTAGCAGCGTCACCTGTAGAGTCGGTATTTTTTTACATTCCGCGCGTTCTACGGCGTAGAGGCAAACGAGCGCCGGTACAGCCAAACCTACACTGACGCGCCCCGCGCCGCATCGACCGCACCCCCTCCCCGGCCGATCCTAAGTGCGACTTTTCAAAACGCCTTATTACGCCCGTCCAACTAAATGCTACTATTTTTTTCTTTATTAATCACTTTAAAGTATATTGATTACTTATTATATTTATCTATTAAAACAAATTTATTGTTTTCTTATTTGTAGCATTTTTTTAGGGTTTCCCCAGAAAACGCGATATTTTAAGTTACATCAAGTTCTTTTTATATCAAAAAACAATTCAACAAAACATAAAACGGACGAAATAGCAGGCAACAGCTAGTCAGTATATAATCTGTTTAAATTATGTATGTACACAAATTCGACAATTTGACAGTACTTTCACAATTTTATTTAAACTATTATACGTTAAAACACAATTACTTATATCCGAATGCATTTTATATATCGGCGTATTATTAAAAGTTGTTGAAATTTAATAAAAGCTCACCGTAGATAAGCAATAAGATGATAAAATCTGACAGACAGCTGACTCTGGGACCTGTTTTACTGACAGGTGTAAAATAAATTGTAAGGTTTTTTTATAGTATAACCAAATTTTATCAAGGATGCCAAAAGACTGAAAATAAATTTGCGATGAAGTGTTGCCATTACGTATTTTCCAACATTTAATAGAAAGTGTTATTACACTATGACATAGATTTTTATACATATATTACTTTTGAAGTAAAAATACAAAATTATGATATATTTAGCACATATATCTCGTTACCATTCGAAATATGCTCGAAGTTTAGAGGACATGTAGGTACTAAGAATATCGAATATTAAATGTTAAATGCATTTCTATACTATATAATATAATAAAGCGTAAACACACACTTCTTTGTTGCCTAGAATGTCAGCACAAAAAGCATATTTTTGGATAATTATTTAACGCCATTAAACTTAGGGGTAAATATTTTAAACAAAAACCCTAATGTGGGAAAGAGACCATAAGTTGCTGCCAACATCAAGGAAACAAGGTTGTCGTCATGTCATGTCATTTTGACATTTGTAATTTGAAAAATGTAAACAATAAAATAAAATTTTCTTTATGCGGATTGAGTCGCACGGGAACAGCTAGTGTATTATATTATACTCATTTCGTATTTTAACATGTTTTTAATATTTAAGCTGAAAGCAATACAATTCATTGAAAATACTAATTTCTCTGCGGGTCCGTACACCGTCCTACATTAATTAAAGCCTTTGTTGGAGGACTATATTTTCAATTTATTGCCTTTGTATAGGTTCATTTTACAAAGCTGCTGGTTAAAACTACGTGTAAGCTACGTATATTTTTAATCTTCAATTTATGTTGTATTAGTTATTTAATTTTAGTTTAGTTTTAATAACAAAACCCTTAGAGCGTGCGCACACTTTTGACCAAACTATCGCACGACTGTTTAATCTCACTATGATTCCTAAGGCACATACACGACGTTTGCAATTGTGCAACTAAATAGTTGAAATGGCTGCGAAACAATTGACAATCGCACAATAGTTGTGCGATAGTTTAGTCAAAGGCGCGCCCGCGCATTGCATATGTGCAAATCCTTAGACACAATAATAGTTTAAAAATCTTTAAATTACAGATTTTAAAAATTGATTTCTCTAAACGTAAAACATCATGTATAAAATATGTTACGCTTTTTTATTGACGCTAGATTAAATTAAGATTTTTAGTAAAAAAGAGCAGTACATTGTATGAAATCTGTACTATCTTGTAGTAACTAATGGATGTCGTTTAGTCTCCTCGGCTCACAAGTTCGTCCTCCCTAAGCCGATTGCAATTCAATGTTCCCGAAGCTTATTGCTAAATGGGGGACGTGATAAGATAGAACGTAACACACTTTCCTTGTGGATTTAGAAGTTTTTAATCAATACATTAATTTACATTGGCTCACAATAAAACCTTTCTTTTTATTAATTTTGGGAGAAAACTTAATAATGATACCCTGCGCTTGGGATAGGATTTTACCTGCTAAAACCCCTTCAAGGACCATCTTCTATTTATACACCCTGTCTCACTGGATGCCCTGTAAGATATCGCTAAGGGATAAATCCGCAGTTTCTCATATAATAAGGAAATGATGATAATCATTGTATTGTTTAGTAGATTTTTAACAATAAAGAAAAAGAGAAAAAAAAAGAAAAAAAGTAAGTTAAGAATAAATAAATAATAGAATGACATAGAGGTTTGTACAAAAATGTGAACATTTGTAACATTTCGTAATGAGTAATTGTGAAAATTTCATTTTTCGATGTTTCAATTTTCTTTTTAATTATAGTTTAAGCGATATAACTCTAACCTTATTTAAAAATGATACTTTATAGTAGTCAATGTTTTCAAAACATTATATTAATTTCAAAATGTTATTTTTTCTTCTGACAATAACAAGTACAATTAAAAACTAAAACCATTACGTCATTCAACCCTATCTTTTATCTATATTAAATTTTGTCAAAACATCAGTACCAAAAGTCGATAAACATAATTTTGCTAATAGCGTCCTCTTTTATTTTAATCATAGTAATTGGTCGTGTGATATAGCAATTAATTTATTTGTCATTTACAGTTGAAAAACCAATTTAATTTTACGTTAATTCCTTTTTATAGGAAACATGAAGGAAATAACAAAGAAAGAAGCACTGTCGACTTTTATTATATCAAACTAATCACTTGCATTAAACGTAATCTTTCTATTAAGGTCAATATATTATAAAGGAAAATGCCACAGCTGCCGATATCATGTAATTTCTGAGATATTTCACTTGACCTTCAGATGACGTACGTCAAAGGTCAGTGACGTATTAGAGGTAAGAGCTACTTCCTTACATGTGACTCATTCGTAAGAGGACTACCGGGAAAATACATTTAAAGTGTAATTTACCTTTTGGTAATTAGCAGTTGTTCTTCACCAGGAATCCATATAAAGCTAAATAAATGAAATAAAAAAAAAATAACAAAAAATTAGAAATTTACAGTTGCCCGCGACTTTGTCAGTGCTGAATATAAGAAAAGAAAAGTAGCCTATAAAATTTAAAAAATGATTTAAAATTTAAATAAAATTCAAATTTAAAACAGTCCAATTAACATAGGTCCAGTCGTTCAGATGATAACCCGGAACAAACGAGTCATTGCGAGAGACAAAACAAAGTTTTCTTTATCAGAAACGAATATTCATGTCAAAGATTTTTTTTTTCAATATTAACAGACACGCTACTATATATATGTATAGACTACGATACATTCCAATCTATGTTTTTAAGCACATATTTAAAAAAAAATAAACTACCTAGTTTTCATCTAATGTCTTTCTAATAGTTCTCATCAGAAATTCTTAACAAACCATTAAAATGCAATGTACATCCTGTTTTCTTTTGCAGTCTTTTTCACTAAGGAGCGGTATGCACGCAGGGAATTATGTTCCATACAAGTCTACGACAGAATAAACGGCCGTCCTTTAGAAATTTAATGATGCCTCCCGTAGTGAATGGACCTAGGACATTTATTCATTACTGTCCGGCTATATACATGATCATTGTACGCACCAAGGTTTTTTAACACGAAATTACTGATTTTGTTGACAAGATATTACAAAAAAGTTGAACTAACCTTATTTTAACTACACTGGTATATTTTAAGCAAAGACATTTAATAAATATATAGACTAGACATGGTAACAAAATTTCTTCACCGGTAACTTCTTTGTACGGTACTATCACAATGTCAAATTTGATACGCCGAGACGCTTCTCGGTGTTTAAATTATTTGATTTTGACTATCGGACACCAGCTACCTTATACAGGGTAACATTCGATTTCCGCTATCGCTGATTGAAAATTAAAAAATATATGAAAGTGACAATGTCATTCGATAAATCATGTGCTTTTCACGTATTCATTCCTATGCGTTTTGACACATTTTGTCGATTCTATTAGCGATATCCCTAATCGGTAGTCAATTTGTCTAAAGGGGCTGCTAACGCTATTAAGATTATGTAAAAAATGTTTCGATTAAAGTCTCAACTATGCTCCCTCTATATATCATTTGAATCTCTTTGATTTTAATAATCAATTGCATTTACGAGATAACAAATGCCACTTACATCAGTTCTAAAATTTCGATGTTAAATTTTTGTAGGTTTATAACTAAAAATACTTAAGTTTTGAAGCAACGAAATATAATAAAGGAAAAGCGAACCAGGTCAGATGCGAGGCCTTTAATATCTTTCTTGGAATACGTTTAACTCGAGGACGTTGTAAAATCATATCTTGAGATTTTATGCTATCGATAATATTAATAAATTTTTTAAATTACAAATATAATGATTTATCATATTCTGTATAGTTAAAGAATTTAATTTTGATTTAGTATACTCAAGAGAAAAGAGATAATGCCTCACTCAAGGTTGTTTTAGTAAGAGAAACTTACAGACTGCGTAAGTGTCTCTTATAGTTCTCTGGTAATCGCAGTTATTGTAATAATAGTTCAACTGTTTTATTTGTATTTAAGTATTTGAATACGAAGAAGTAAAACACGCATCTTAGATATTGGATCTTGTCGCGTAAAGTTTCCGAAGACATTAAATTTCATAGTAATACTGAAGTAGGTCACTCGTTCTCGGTGCATCGTTTGCATTTTTGTTTGTTCTCTGTAGCGTGTGATTTACGATGTCCGTTAGGTTTAGTGTAATGTCGTTCTGGTATAGGTTACATTACACTTCTAGTTTTTATGCCATTTACATCAAGAATGGTATGCACTTGATATGTATATGATTTAGTTCAGATCTGACATTTCCGGTATTAATTTCAGCACGAAAAAGCAGTCAATACATTTATTAATATCCTCTTTAAAATGATAATATTGCTTAGTAAAGGTCTAAATAATTAAAGTACGGTCAATTATTCACTTGCCAAAAACTTACCTTATCCTTTTTCTACAGTTTCTTACGATGGCCTAAATAGTAATTGTTAAATAGAAATG